CTTCGTTAATGCGCACGCGCATAGTTTTATAGCACCGTTGCTTATCATGGCGCATTCAGAATCAGAGAGATAAAAATCATCGTCGGAGGAGGTTACTTCTGAACTTCCTATTCTAAATTATTCCTACCACGAACATGATTATAACAAAGATTGCTTTGTATGTTGTATCAAAGCATTTTTTGTATAAACATTCTAGTTATAATTCCTGCAGATGCAATATCATTGTTAAGAAAAATCAAGAATTCTTTGATTCACAGATTCACAAATTCACAGATAATAAGGGTAATAAATTGATTTAAAACGAGAATATTTCAATGGATATTAATTAAGACTGATAATTTATTAATTAGAATGATTTAATTAGTAGGATTACTAATAACAGTAATTTCATGGTTAGACTTAACTATTAAATCATTAATAATTTAATGGTTAGAATTACTGGTAATTTTATGATTAATTATTAATTGCATAATTATCAATTTGTTAATGGATTAATTAGTTTAATTAACTAGAATTATAGATTATTAAAAATTTAGTATCTAAGACAAATGTTAAAATAATTTTCTTATTTCAAGATTATTTAAATATTATACACATTTTGAAATAATGAATTCCAGAAATTTACTATTTCCAATATTAGAAAATTTGAAATTAAAATCAAAAATCACTAAATCCAGAACTACAACTCTCAAACTTGATTACAATTGCAGAATATTAAATGCTTTGAAATTGCAATTATAAAAAATTATATGCTTTGAAACTGCAATTCTAAAAAAATGTAAACTTAAAGATAGTATATCAAATAAATAGTATATCAAATTTTATCCTAGAATTGCTAGTTACAAATCTTATAATCAAAAACTGTAAATTATAAGTTATTTTTAATTTTATTTAAAAATAAACGATTTCCATATATATTTCTAACATGCAAAATAAATAAATTAATAGATTGAAATGGATAGAAAACTGTTGCATGCCAAATGCTAACAAGTAACGCTTTTACAGGAATTGCATTTAATGAATCGAAATATCAAGGATAAGAGAGGGGCCAGAAGGTTTCGAGAGCACAAGAGAACGTTTAAGTCGAAGAAATCGACTTTGACGTCATGCTTTTCTCGCGCGACGAACGGATGGGAAAATACGCTTCCTTTTAGCCACAGACAATGTAGCTTTGATATGACCTTTGACATTACACGGTTATACTATCGATCTTTTATTTATTAAGCTAAATAGTTCATCAAATTTTAAATAATGTAAATATCCTTCTCCAAGACACATGTACAGACCATTTGATTTTACATAATATGTATATTCATAATCTAACAAGTAAAAAATGAATATAAAAATAATCTAAAATTTTTACTTTTGATTTTATCCTTTCATATATATATATATTCTAATAATATATTAAATATAATATAAAAATACAAATGAAAAAATAAAAATATAGTGATATTTTGACATATATAACAATATTTCTAATTGTCTTAATTTGGAGGTTATGTTCATCGATCGAGAATTCGCGGAAAGTTGATCTTTCTTAAAAAATCGAAATGAACACAATGCGTTTCTTTCACATCAAGGAAAGTCTCAGTGAGTCTGATGGTCGTGCATGAGGTGGTGATCGATACCATCGCACGACTCTTAAGCGGATCGTGCACGTCGTATTGACCGGCAATTTTCGCGCGGAGGAAGGTCATCACGAGACATACAAGAACACAGAGTGAGCATACAAGGAATACGATATAACCGGTATATAGTGTGTGCGCCAGGGAATACGACCTTCATCGCCACGAACACAAAGGCAGCTGAAGCTATTTCACGTGCGACTAATCTCGAGAAGAGAGAGCAAAGAAGAAGAGCAAGCGCTTATCGTCATCGCGAGAGTGAACCCCTGACTGATTCCTGACCGAGGCAGTTATCGATCGATATATCGAGAATGGAACAGCAGTCGCGCGTCACGCTATACGTAGATATATATCATTCGTATATGCGTGTATCTTTCTATGTGTGTATGTGTGTGTGTGTCACTATACATTTATATGTATATGTCACTTTACAATTCGATTCGTGCTAACCTAATCGAAACTGTATAGTAGTCACGGTAATTGATTATATATGTATATATAGTAAGAGAAAGCAAGAAGATTCACACGTAAAATAAAATATATTTTTCATATCATGATATAAATCGTCCTGATATAAAAAAGTGAAAAATTTCATTAGCAATTAAAACACGAAGAAACGATAAATGTATAAAAAAAATACATTGTAACAAAGATAATTTATTATGAAATAGACTTGTACGGTAGCGCTGTTAGCGCCTCCTTCAAGAAGCACACGCGGTTTCCAAGTGGTAAAATCAACGAAATATCTTACACGCTGTTTACCCTAATCAATTCATCAACTCACGTGAATCATTTTGATAAGTGATTACTATCGAATGAAAATAATTCAATTCAAAAATATTCGATTCAAATTTTACAAAAAAAGTATCCAAAATAAAATGCATAAACAGTTTAAAATTTTTTTTTCACTTACAGTCGAGGAGTTTCTCCGGTAATGTAGGGATAGTCGTAGCTTGAACGAAAAAAAGCACGACGTAGCGATATGGAAAAGAGGCACTGCGACGTCGAGGAGGGGCGGGTTCTGAGATACCTCCGCGGGCCTTACTTATTCAACTTCGGCAAGGGTAGAGCACACTACCAAGCAACGACACTGTAAACTGAACACACACCGTACATCGACAAACTTTTCTGTCTTTTCCGTATACGTGCGTGTGTGTTTATGTGTGTCTCTTTCTCTTATTCTCTTCTTTTTCTCTCTTCTTTCCTCCGTTCTTTCCTTGTTTCTGTTTCTTTTCGCAACGATTATAGACGATAGACAATGAAACGTATCCTAGTTTCTCGGATATCTTTTTAGACTTTTCAGGAATTCCAACGAATTTCTTCGTTCCTTTCCTAATTTTCGTTCTTCCACTTTTTCTTCTTCCTTCTTCTTCGTCTCTTTTGTTCTCCTCGCGCCTCCACCTCCTCTTCCGACACCTCTGTTCTTCACCGCAGCGGCAAGGACCCGCCCCGTGTCGCGCTACACAAATGTGTAGTGGATAAAGAGAGCGTAAAACTTGCTCTGCGACAACATTATCTGGCCGGTTATCGGTATCTCGCTGCAGTCGTCATTTCTTCCTTTCCTCCAGTCTCACCGCCCGCGTCGCAACGAAAATTGATCGCGTTGCGCGCGACGGTCCCTTCCTGGGGGACAGACCCGACGCGTTCTACTACTCGCACCGCTGTCACCCCGTAACACAGCTTCGTCTGACTACGATCCTTCCGTCTTTCCTGCCTTCCTGCCGTCCTTCGTACCCTTAGCTTTCCTTACCGAAGGACCGACCAGGTCCTTTCCACTTCCTTTATCTGTCAGTTCCTTCTGGCACATAGACGCGCGCGCGCGCCTTCTCTCTCTTTCTAACACCCGTCCGTCTGTCTCTATCGTTACCCCTCCCTCTCTTTCTTTCTTATTCCCCCTTCTGTTTCCCTCTATCACTTATACCTCCTACCTAGCACTTTCTCACTCTTTCTTCATCCCTATATATCCCCCCTACTCGTTTATATCTCTTTCTCTCTCTTTCTTCCCGTAGACTCTATCTCGTTCACTTAGTCGCCACTAGCACTGTCTCCCGTTTTGTCGACGTTTTGCTCATCCGCGTTCCTTTGTTTCAATCTTTGCTTTTTATCCAGCTAATCTGGCCACGGGAATTCACCACCATCCACCAGTTCCCCGTTAACACTGAGTCTGAGTCTCTTAAAACACTCCGTGTCTGACGCACACTTTTATCGGCTGAAAAGCTTCTCTCGAGGACTGTGTCACGATTAGACAAACCCGACGCGGACGTTATTGCACCGCCACGCGCCAATCTCGCGCAGCGGACTCGACAGGAACTAGTTTCGAGGCGCCCCACTATATATCCGCACCATTCGCGACTCGTTACACGAACCACCCCTCTGTCTGACCACCCACCACGTTCAACTAACCTGCGCGAGAGACTATCGCAACTACAAATCCGTACTCACCCAATGACAATTGCGGTATACGCTTCTTCTGTATGAACCTTTGATTGAGCCCATTTCTTAGCTTTCCTCTCACTTCTCCACCATAACGTTTTCGAACGATCCATGGTAAGAATTATTCAAAAGGGAAATTTGTTTAATCGTAACTTTGATTTGAAATACAGTGAATACGAAGTTAATATCACGATTAGGATTCGTAAATTCGTACGTTCCTTGCTTCCGTACCACGAATGGATCAATGAAAATGTACTCTTCCACTAACAGCACCTTACCCGCCACCCCCGTGATAGCGAGAAACACGGTACCACACCGCACCACCCTTACTATCTTCACCTAAAAACATTCGCCTGCCGCCTTTCGGAATAACCGACCGTCTCTGCAAGCTCGCCCGTAAAGCTTTCCTTAAGAAACTATTGGCTAGCGATTGTGCTGCGATCTTACTGTCATCCTGTCATCCGCCGCCATTGAGGTATCATGTAGATTTCCACCCTTCTACAGCAATAGTATATATTGATAAGTTTATTTTTTGATTCTTTTACATTTTCTTTTTATATTTACATGTTTTATATATATATATATTCTATATATTTTTCGCTAAAATATTGATTTTGAATTCATTAAAATTTTAAGTATCAAAGAAAAATCAAAAAATTATATTATACAAACATGTTTCTAGTTTAAAAAATAATTCTTGAAAATTGTTTTTTTATAGTTTATTACTTATATATAAATTTGTACATAATAATTTGTATACATTGCATTAATATATACTTCAAATTGATTTTCATATATCAATTTGGAAATACGTGTAAAAAATATATGTGCTATATATAAATATAGGAAAATCTTTTTGTAAAATTTATCGGTGGTCTGTCGATAATACAACTAAATGTGTATAGATTTCTATTAAACATTATTCAGTTAGAAACTATGTACGATTTATAAATCATATTTTTACTGACTTAAATACATCTCACTATTTCGTTTCGGTAATTTGGAAATACAAAGATATAAGCCGATTATTAATAAAATAATTAGCGGAAGGCCAAGACCAATTGAAATAATCATAATTACTAAATAAGAAAATTGTTCATCAGGAGGTGTACCATATCCAATCAAGAATGTCCTAAAAAAAATATTAAATTAAATATTATATAATATTAAATATTAAAATTATAAACTTATATATATTAAAAAAATGAAATGAAGTGAAACTATGTATTATGAAATGAAAATGTGTATTAAAATAAAATTACCATGTAGAATAATATGTTTTTTTATAAAACCCATCTCCTTTTGTTCCTAATGATACAATAATTCTTTGAGTGAGCAAATTGTCAATTTTATCTCCATAATAACAATATAACATGGAATTCATAATAGCACTTGTATGATTAGATACTTTCAATGGTGAATATTGCATTGTTTCTGTAGAATTTGTTGTATCTCTAGATATAGTTGTGTAAGAAATTGGTCTCCATTGCAAATAAGCTCCCTCTGTTTGGTAGTTGTCCATACTTTTATAAGGTGGTGTTCTGACTTCAACAACCTAAAATAATATTAAAACAATATTAAATTTGTTATTTATTTGTTTTTAATTCACTTATTTTTAATAAAGAGTAATAAAGAGTAATAAAAAACAATAATTAAATTACTAATACATTACTTCAAATATTCCAGGTGTATGTTCATCATCTAAACTTTTTTTTGGATTAATAAACATAGGAATATCAGGATTGCCTTCACCTGCCACCAATAATTCAATTGCAAATCTACTATTAGTAAAAGTTTTGTTAGTTTCTATATTTTGAAGAATAATATCAATTTGAGTAGAATTCTCAGTATGTAACATATGAGGCATAACTTCTGAATGATCAAGAGAACAAAATCCTATCAACTAAAAAATAAGTAAAACAAATTTTAATAAAATACATATTTTATATATACTTATACACAGTATGATATCTTACCGAAAGTTTTACAGTTCCATATCTACTGATATTCATAATACTATCATTATAATAGTTACCCTCCATATTTAATGTAACAAATTCAGTATTTTGTATTAAAGCTTTTCGATCCCATTGAAAAAACATAGGATGTATAACATTTGTGTCTACAATATTAGTAATATTCATCATTGCTGTATCATTTTTATCATTGAATTCTATAATCTGAAAATATTATTCAATGTATTAATAATGATTATTTAATTATTTACAAAAAGATTTAATATATACTAACCTTATTAAAAATTACTCCAAAAGTATAAATAGGTTCTTCTGTAAATTTTATGGAATTTTTTCTTTTAATAAAAAAATCTTCCCAGCTTATGTTTAATGAAGCTGAAGGTAAAGTAAGGGCTAAGAATACTGATGGATTACCATCAAAATCCCATAAATAATGTAAAGTGTCATTAGGGCCATCAGCTCTTAGATAAACTGTTGTTAAATTTTTGTCTTTACATTTCGTGTCACAGTCATAATTCAGCCATGATCGTAACTAGTGCCAGGCAAATTCTTTTATATAAAAAAATGTAAATATATTGTTTGCAACTCAATAATTAAATAATACATAATTATAATTAATAAATTCTATGAACCATACTTTACATTAATTACAATAGAATCAAATGATATTAATAAAATATTTTTTCATTTTATTTTTATGAAAAATATAAAAAATAAAATTGAAACAATTTTATTATATATATGGGTGAATGTTATTATATAAAGAAAAATTTATTTTTAAATTTCCAAACAATTATATCATTACTAATCACTTGATTATTAGAGTTCTCACGTTAATTAATAAGTGGGTTATGGGAACTCGTGTTCCTCATTAAGTAACGTACTGCTCCCAATTACCATTGAATTGTTATTCAACAACGACGAATTGAGATATGACAATAATTTCTAAATCGACTCTGCCCGCAAGATAAAACAATCAGACGATGAATCATATTACGCGCGACCTTTGTTTTACCATTCGAAAAAGATGCTGATTCAAATAAATTCAAATCAAATTATTTATAATAATAATTAATAATAAAAATATATTACTTACAGTTCTTTGTGTACTACATCCAATTTCTATTAATGTAATAAATAAAAACAGTAACACAAAAACATTATTCATACTGTACGATATATATATATATATGTATATATATATAAAACAAATCAGAACATTTACTGACAACCCAACAGCAACTTTACTTATGACACTACTGGCTGTACTGAGGCACGATCGCTGGAATCAAAATGGATCTAAATGTACACTGCTTGCAGCGCCACGTTTGAGTTTGGAGAACTTGCAATTTAATTTTCCGGATAATCGAACTGCTGCAAATTTTACACAATATATATATATAAATTAATTTAAAAAATCCATGATAAATATTACATGAATATATAAATATATTTTAATAAATTTTCATTTATAAATGATTATATATCTATATAGATATTTTATCACAGATTATTACTAATTCTAAAATCTAGCGGAAAATGTAAAGAAGATATATTATTTTTGTTTTATACTACACAATAATGTCAAACATAAATATATATATATATATATATATATATATATATATATATATATAT